TCGCCAAACTTCATCGGCAGTCGGCACAGTGCTTTTCTCTTCCGTCTTCAGGCTAACTGCTTGGCAAAGAGTAAGCCCTCTTCAGATCTCTTCTTTTAACGTTTCCCCCCCCTCACTGTCTTAGATCGAAGTGGTGAATGGTTTTAGGATCTTATACTGCTGTTTCTCTTCTCTTCTTCAAAGTCTGTTCTCCACTGTGATCTGAAATGCTTGTTTGGTTCTTCGGGAAGAAATGCAGCCCTGCTTTTGCCTTTTCTGTTTGGTCTTTAAACAATGTCAGGATCAACCACATTTCGGTGGTCCGCCATGTCTATCAAGCAATGTCGTGAACTCTATACTTCCTGGTGTTCCCTATTTTCTTGTGGTGCATTTCTTTTTAATGCATTGGCACGCATTTTTCAGCTGCCCATTAATGCCGATTCTCTCATTTCTTAGTTTTTTCGGGTAATTTAGGAGAAGTGTTAGTTGACGGCCAAAAATAAAGGAAAGGTATTAGTGAAGGTTATTTGGTTTTATTATTGTGTGTTCTTTACTTATATGTGATTTTTCTTTCTTACGTTACTCTGCAATGCAGCTGATTTTGCTACAGTTCCATGGTTGTTTCATTAAGAACTAATGGAAACACATTATTTGTCTGCAATAAATTTCCTGAAGATATCTCAATACTCACGGGTCTTTCTTCACTAGAATGTTTCACTTTACCTGATTAGCGAGAAGTCTGAATTAGCTTCTGAATGTTTCGTGCTAAAATGGATAGAATGGATGAAGTTCTTAAATTGCTATCCTTATGCAAGCAGTCTATGTTCAAATGCAGGTTGATTCAATGTGAGATAGAACCTGCAAGCTTCACCATGAGCCGAGGATCTTCAGTGAAAAAACCTTTTCTGCCTCCTGCTACAGCACCACCTCCAAGATCCCTTGCAAACTCAGTGCAAAGGAGAAAGCAAAGTCCTCGAAACCCATTGCAGGATCTGAATCGCATTTCTGGTAGTAGCAATAGCAGTGATTCTTCCAACGTCTCTGCTGAAGCATCAAGAGGTTGCCTACGATTTTCCTCTCCCACTCTTCTTCTTCTTCTTCAAAATCCCCTGCCTGCAGACCGAAATACCTCTCCCAAACTCCCAATTCAATCCACAATGTGCCTCCTTTGAGAAAGCCTAAAGCTAAAGAGAACCTTACAAAAGGTAATAGCGGGGAGCACACTAAAAACCTTGCATCAGAGAAGGCTCGGAAAGTTAAGAAGAATCCCCCATGCCTATACCAGTGGCAATCTGGGAAGAAATCCGATTCTAAAACTGGCCAAAAATCCATGTCCTCTTCTGTTCTGAATAACCATTGCAATTTTCTTCCTCGACTGCCATCTGGATTTGGAGAGTCAATGCTGCAGGAAGAGAGACTCAAGAGGATAAATGACAATGACCATAAGTGTTCCCAGCTCAAATCTTGTCATAATGAAGCAACTTTGACTCCTCTGAGTAAAAGGGTGTCTGAGTCAGATTTGGATATTGTACGTGATGATGGGGATGTTAAAGAGAACTCAAACACAAGCCCTAGTAAAACACCTCCAATTCAAATTTCTGTTTCCCCTGAGATACAATGTGGTTCTTCTTTGGTTTCAGCTACTACACCAGCTTGTTATGGTGCTGGCTATATAGTTTCTGGTGTCACTGACAAAAGAAAATGCAGGCCTCGGGGTATTCTTATTGTGGGAGAGGACAACCCTCACTTAAATTATGGGACTGCTGATAGTTTTGATGATGGTAATGGGAATGAAATAATGAGCACCGCCAACCATGTCAGCACCTCTTTGTTGCCCCTGCCAAGTGAAGCTTCGATGTATTGGGTTTGTTCACCTCATAACAATGAGGATAAAGATGCCACGAAGACATCTGAAAATGGAGCAAGTCAAGTTCAGGTACTAGCTGAGTCCACCACTCTTGGTTCCATTTCTCCACCATCATCCAGCCACAGAGCTTCTTTGGGCATAATTGATAGCATTGATTTGTCTAGTGCTGATTACTGTATCAGAAGAAAAGCATCTAGCTCAATTTCTCCTAGCGGGCTCCCTGAATTTCAAGGATTTTCAGATTCACTATTATCACCTTCTTATTTACCCATATTCTTTTCTCCCAATTCAACGTCTAGCTGCAAGGCAGGTGGCTCAGGAAAGGGCAAAACTTTTCAACACAATCGTATTGAAGAGAACTCTCCATACTCACTCAATTCATTGAGTAGTGGAAATGTTATTCAAACTCCACAGTCAGACTTCAGTTCAGATATCCATGTTGGCATGCCACGGGTTCATGGAGACTATCTGAAGAAAAGCAATTCTAAGCTTGACCTTGATTCTATAGGTGAAGCCATTCCATCAGCAAGCTTCATGTCTGTGCCATTGGGGGATTCTATTAATTCAAGTTTCCAATTTGATTGTTCAGCTCTGCCTTCTGATTCAATCGATCTCTGTAAACTTCCGAAATTTTTGGATGATCAGGTTCCTTGGTTATCGAGTTCTACAATTGACACAGCATCACAGTCTCAAATGAGGATATCATGGAGGGAAGGGTTAATGAGCCAACTTTATGAGATGGATGACTTTGATTGTTGCAAATGCTTGTCAGATGAGGAAGACCTTGCTAATGATTGCAACAGCAACGATTTACCCATCCATTATGTTCCTAAAGTCAATGACAAAGTAGACTTTGATAAAAAGTTGGATAGTGATGTCAAAATCACTGAAACTGATGATAAACCGCTGAGAATTGAGGGATTGGGCAAAGAAATATTTCCAGGTCTGCTATCTTGTTCGGAGGCTGAGTCTATAAGCACTGATGGAACTGGTCTGGTTGCTTCAAGAGATGATTCAGATTGGATGTTATGCTACAAGAATACATTATTTGAAGATTAAGATTAAACTTTGTCGTCCGTTCATTCCCGTGAGAGCTAGACTAACATGCTAAAAGTTGGTCTTTAGGAGTTGACCTCTGCCTGTACTCATAAAAGTTGTGTTTGACTTTCCACTGGTATTTTAGATCTCTAGTGTTGAATGTAATGTATTACCTCCGGTTATTAATATAAAAATTAGTTTGATATTTAATTGGGTTCTAAATATAAAACCCCAATTCAAGTTATTTCTCATATTTATTCATTTTTTTGTAGGATAATTTTTGTAATAGTTGCATACTTGCATATGTTAAATGTTTTATTAAATGAAAGTTCTAATTAATATACATGATTCGCAAGTATATTTAGGAAAGATAACAACTATTACTTTCGGTTTTAATTATAAGACTTTGTTTATAGATTACAAATAAGATCTTATAATTAAAACTGGAGGTAGTATGTAGTATAAATAACTAACTTAATTAATTTGTTTAATCTATTTAAATTAGTCAACTAGTTTTTATATTAAAGACTAGAGGTAGTATTTACAATAAGGTTATCTCGAGTCTGATCATTGAAAGGGAGAATGTTAGAGTGGTAGTTGAGAAAATAAGGGCAAAACATTCAACAAAATATTCAACTTGCACTTGAATATGGGAGGCTTAGCTAAACAAAAAATTCATGCGAGACTTTGTTATCAACAGGAAGAATGACAATTTCCAAATTGCGTACCAAACATAAGCATTTTAAATTTCTTATAACACGATATGTGATATAATCTTATTTTATATTAAAGATCATAAAATTCCAATGAAATGCTGCAAGTCTGTTTGCCAATTTGGCAACACTCTGTTCCAGTTTCACCCAATATCTGATTTCTATGGTATAATGGACAGGATTCTTCCAGTTTGGCAAAACTCTGCAAGTCTGTTGAAGGCACAAATTCATGTCACAGATGCCGGGATGGGATGTATGTAAATTCTAATTCTAAAAGAAGAAAACTTGACCCAAAACTAGGGATTATTCAGTCACAAAAAGGGTCGAGGGAGCCAAGTTAAGCAAAAAGCCATTGAGTAAGAGGCGGCAAGGAAAATCTCAAACCAATAAAAAGGTCCCGTCAAGTATACCTCTTCGCTGTTCAGCCAGGAAGGCCAAATGCTTGCATGTGCAAAAGAAAAGGAATGTGGGACCTAAAAAAAGCAAAGAAACGTAAATCAAAGAAGGGGGCATCTAGGAAGCCCAAGGAAACAACTTCTCATTCTAAGACAGCGGTAACTTCTGAGCATAAGCAAAGAACTCATGTGGGTAACAGTTACTGGCTTAATGGTCTTAGGTTGTCCACAAAGCCAAGTGATGAACGAGTAATGCTGATTAAGGAGAAAAAAGCATCTTGGCCCCTCAGAAGGTTTTTCTAGCACCTTTGATCGACCTAAATGCCGTCTTTGTTGTGGAGATGGGTGCACATTGAATTATATTGCTTGTGAAATCTGTGGAGTGAAATGATAGAACATCCATGGAAAGGTCGTATTATCATAATTACACCTGAATTTTATGATGACAAGCATTTACTGGTACTTAATGCCTTATCTTATGCTAGGTTTTTTGACAAAAAGAATATTTATTAGCGGTCAACTGTTTGTAATCTTTTCTTGGAATAATTTTCTTGTGAACAATTTTCACATCCTGGCTCTGTTAATGAATTAGAATGGCTAGCCGCTTGTAGTTGATTGGTATAACTAGTTAGACCAGTGGTATAAAATGATTATAAAAATGAATATTAACTACTTTTGAACCATAATTTTGGATGATTTGGTCTTTTCCTTCATTAATAATATGACTGAATTGTTTTGTTAGGATTCTTTAACCAAAAGAGGAAGTCACAAAGCCCAAAACATTGCTTGTGAAGGATTGATGTACAACTAGGACAGAATTTGACTTTGATCCAAATGATATTTCTTATTGCGTTTATATCTATATATATGTATACATTAAAAGTCTGTAAAATAATGTATTATGCCATGTGCTCCTCTCACTGAATATATTTTCCTGCTGCTAGTATCAATTCACGTGTGATGCTATACGATCACCTGCTAGTCACTAACCCTATCTTAGAAAATACTACTTCTGGTCCTTAAATATAAGAGATCGTTTAGATTCTATTTTAGTCCTAAATATAAACCTTAATTCACTTTATTTTTCATATTTATTTATTTTTTTTCCTAAGTTAGTCCTTGTAATAATAGTATTCTAACCAAATATACTTGATTAGCAAAGATATTTTAGGAAAGATAACACTTATTTATTACAAATAATTAACTTAACTAGTTTTCTTAATCTATTCAAATTAGTCAACTAGCTCTTATATTAAGGACTGAAGGTAGTATTTACAATAGAAGCAAAGATATTCCCATACTTCCCCTCAAGTTGGATGTTATGAGGTATGTAACCTGGATTTGGGAATAGGGAAGGAGGAGAGAAAGAGAGGGAAAACAGAGGAGAAGAGAGAAAAACAGGGAGAAACAGCGAAAGAACTGAAGAACTGAGTCAAACTGAGTCAAACTGCCGTATTCATTCAAATGGTCATAGTCTACAAACGACTTGAATGGTTCTGTTTATAGAAGCGTTAATATCCCCTTCCAATGGCTAACTAAGTCCTGAATATATTTATATTATTGTTATGATTATATAACATTGGATCATAGTTATTGATCATAACCAACTTGCTTATGCATTCGTCAAAATTTTTTGTTGGAGGTCCCTTGATGAGAACATCATCAACTTGTTTCTTTGTTGGCACGTACATTAGGCACATTATTCCTTGATGAATGTTTGTCGACTCTGTCTTCTCTTTTACTGCATGTGGGGGCTCTATTCTTGCAATGCAATCAAGAACCCATCGAGGAAGCCATTGCTTTAAAAGTTTAACTTGTTAAAATCCCACCCTCACAAATGAGTTAGGAAATCAGCTACTTCCGCTGCTAAATCACCTGTAAAACACAGCTGATTAGGATAAATATACAAGGCCCAATGATTTTTAGCTTGATTGGCTTCCAAGCCTTTTTCTCATCTCATCTTCGATTGTGTGACTTGGCTGTTCCATACAGAAGTAAATATATTATGTGACATTGGATCAGACACTCTTTTCTCTTTTAAAGTCAAGTTACATATAATTACCAAACTGGAAAAACTCTATCCAGATCAATAGTTCTAACGGAGGCCTAAAACTAGACCTTTTTTTTTTTTTTTTAAATATCGTCATATAAGCACTCAACGTTTGTCATGTGAATGTGAATGTGTTTGTGTGTGTTCTCTATTGATTGTACATGATCTAATAGATGTCCTGTGGCAGTCCGCAAAGCTATCCACTCGATGATCATATATAGCAAGTTTGTATTAAATTCTTATATCTGACTTTATTGCAGGTTTGATGATTTGTATGGAAGGGATATACAATTGGACAGCAGACGCCATTTGCTTGCAGATCCTTTTTCTTCTTGCAGGAGAATGTTGCTCCTTCATCAGTTTTATTCATATTTAAAAACAAAAAAAAGAAAAGGAAACAGAGAAAACTAACCAGTTTGATAGTCGATGTCACAAGAAGAGAAACGATTGATCCATCAGAATATTGTGGTGCAGCATGCTACCATTTAGAGGGAAAGAAGAATAATGGCAAGGACAAATATGTTAGAGAGGCCGAAGAAAATTGCATTTGAGGAGGATAGCTTAGAGAGTTCATACATTAATTGCATTATTAATGATTGTTAATCTAATCCATGTGTATTAATTGTAGTTACATTCTTTCTCATGTAAGTCATATTGGAATGATTCCCTGGCTGTCCTTTATATTTAAACCCTTTGAAGAAATCAAATATATGATCATAGCATAGCTTACTTAGCAAAGAGGAATTATAGCTCTGCATGAATGTTTTTGCAAGGATAAAGTATGAATACTAATTCAAAGAACAAAACAATGAAGAATATAATTTGAAGTTCTGTCCAATAATGCATTTTGATAATTTAAGAGACTTGAGTCTTTCTAGGCTTTGTAAAAAGGAGATGTTATCTAATAGCCATTTATTTAAAAACAGGCGTCGTAGAATATTGTTGCCACTGTCCACAGGAAGTACCCTTGACCATTGCAGAATTGATTGTTCATCAGAACTCTTTTCATTTTCAAGAACCAACACTATAAGCTTCATCGTACTTTCAAAAATATCATTGGTTACATATATAGGTGTCTCAAACTTCGTTGAGATGAACAGAAATTCAAGTTAGGGACACTCCAGCTTACGTGAAAGTCTGTCCATTTTATTGATCCATAAATATCTTTCATGTCCAGTAACCAATTTAATCTGTTTTTCAAACTTAATCTCTTCCAGCAAAACAGTCTGCTTCTAATATAACCATTTCTCAACATCATTGACAACCCTTTGAATTATTTTAATTCAAGTTTATAAATTTATTTAACGTATATATAACTTATTTAGTTAATTCATATCCAAGGTGAGATTTATTCGCACTCTTAGCTCACACCACCCACCTCCATCAATTTTTCCATAAGTGATTGAACAACCGAATTATTTGGATTCGATTCTCATAGAAACAATTTTGAGAAACATACAAACATTTCTATGAGCAAAGGATAGCTTGGGAAAATTTAGTACAAGTGGATAGCTCAAATAAGCTATCAACAGTATTACAGCGCACATATCCCACAACAAATAAATAGTCCAGTGATTATTAAAAACCTCTCAAACTTTATTTGGTCTTTCAAAATAAGCAAAGGAAGCATTATTAGAGATTTCTATTAGCAATGTTTTGCTCAAACTGGCTTCCTAGGACTGACCATTTATGATCAACCTGAAACAGTTGTTGCCGGGACTTTCTTTCATCTTCTGCCATCTCGGACTTCTCTTTCCTCACAGTCTCGAACTCTTTCTTGAACTCTACTGTTTCTACAATATGTTTCCTCTTCTGCTCTTGCAGAGAAAATAATTCAGCCTCACAATCCTTTTTCACTTTCTCCAACCTAGAGATCTGCTCCTTCAGCCTAGCTTCGTTCTCTTCAGCTTCATCCATAAACTTCCGGGTCTCGGACATTTTGGAAACAAGAGCAGTGGCAACCTCCTTTCGTTGAGTTAGCTCCTCCTTGATCCTCTTATCTCTTTCTTCAAGCTCTGCAAATTTATTAACAGTAGCAAATGCTTGCTTGAAAGATGACAGAATGTTAGGCAACTCTTTGTGCATAGACTTTATTATAGCCATAACTTCATGGGATAGAGCTTCATCTTCCAAGGAAAGGCGAGACAAGAAGTTGAGAGCTGTTTGAAGGCGAAGAATATAGTCCTCTGATGTTGCTATGTCCTTAAGAGGCATCTTCAAGTAGTCTTCCAAGTCACTAAGGGCCTTTGCAACAAGCTCATCTTTAGCAGCAGCAGCAGCAGCAGTAGGAACAGATGATGATGTTGGTGTTTTACCACTATAATCATCCTCCATGGATTGAAGCATGTTGATGAGATCATCATCTTCCAAGTCTTTAAGATTTGTCACAGGAATCACCTTCCCATCCTCTTCAACATCTGATTTCCTTGTGTTGAACTTGATTTGACCATGAATCTAAGAATAAAAATTGGATTTGAAAAACAGCACACGAGTCCTAAGCTACGACAATATTTTCCATTATGCTAGGATAAAAGCTATATATACAAGTATCTTAACTTCTTTTCAATAAAAGCTATGCATATCTCTTGCTTGATTCTCATACTATTGCTAGCAATTGTGTAGCCACAAAATCATAAATCATGACTATACATAACACTCAGAAAATTTGATAATTCCCACAAAAGGTATCATTATATTTGGACCTTGAAAAGCAGATAGCTTACATGTGGAAGCGTGTTTGCCGAAGAAGTAACTAAGATGTCAGGCAGCGAGCCTGCTAATTTTGAATGAGTTGAAGGGGTAGTTATCTCAGCATTCCGAGATGATGGAGAACCTTCAATGCTTCCTTTAACATCCTGTAGAGAAATAAATTAAAACCTGTTATATATCATCTCACATATGAGTCTAAGCTTCAACAACATTTTCCATTCTACTAAGATATAAGCTTTATATAGAAGTCTTTTTAACTCATTATCAAACCATGTTTCATTTAAAAAGCTATATACATATATTCCACTCGATTCCCATATCATTGCTGGCAATTTTATAGCCACATGATCATGAATCATGACTATATATAATACTCAATAGTTTTATAAGTGCCAACAAAAGATATCACGTTTGGGCCAAGAAAAGTATTAGAAAGCTTACAAGTGGAATTGTGTTTGTTGAAGAAATGGCTAGGGTTCCAGGGAGCAAGCTTGCTAATTTTGAATTAGTTGATGAGGTAGTTATCTTAGCATTCTCAGATGATAGGGAACCTTCAAAGCTTCGTTTAACAACCTGTAGAGAGATAAATTATGATCTGTGAGTTTTACAGTATTTGAATGAGTTTGTAGAGAGTTGAATTTTATCCCCTACATTTTCCCTTGATACAGTTTCCTTTTGAGCACTCTGAACTTCTAGATCTCTAATAATCTGCATCGCCCAAAAGAAGAAAAAAGGGAGAATAAGTTGCTCCATATATATGAATGATGTTTGCATTACTTTGATTTCATGAGGAATTTCATTTTTTGTAATTCCAATTTTTTCAAGTGATTGTTGTTGGTCCTTCAAATCCAATTGACTGGTTGATATCGTATTGACCAACTCCTTATATATAAAAATCAATGAACATATAGTCAAAATCAAATAGGTTAGTCTACTTATTTGCAAATACTCTTGTAGTCTGAGAGGCTTTTATGACACTTACAGTTTCATCATGAGGCGTTTTAGGTAGAGATATATCTATAGGATTACTTGTCAACGGCTTGCTAACTGATTGAGGAGGTAAAGATGAAGTTGGCATTACTGCAGGTATCTCTGAACCAGGCATTATTTGATTGATACTCTGGGACAGCATATCCAAAAATACGTAGTTAACTAATGTCACAAGCAGAAAAAGACAATATTAGTGCAAGATGTAATATAGTAAGATAGTGAGGTTGACCTTGGTTGAGCTTTCCGGTTCTGAATGAGCTAATGAAGTAGATATCTGAACATTTTCTGATATACTACACTCTTCAGCTCCTTCAACATTCTACACCACATTAGAAGATAGTCAATATTGACTGAACCACTTGCTTAACATGTCTCGTTTTTGCGCACTTCCATCTTCTGACTCTTTCTTGTTTTGTATGAGTGAATAAATGCATTCTATATCATATATTATACATTATGATGTCTATCAAGCATGAGCAGGACCAAATCCAATAGATATAATGGATTTGCTGGGCATTCAAATAAGAGATGGAAGACATATGCGTACCTGTTTCAAGTTTGATGAAGTAATGGATGTCAATCCTTGGTCATTCCTCTGGTCTCCAATTTCTTGACAACCAATTTGTTGGGTGATTTCTCTATCAGAATCATTCGTGGATTTGATAATATCACTCAAACCCTCCCATAATGTATCATACTCGAGAGGATATCCTATCATATCATTAATGCCAAATAAATTATTTAAAATAACAATTGTATGTAAATAAATTATATCTATTTGAAAAAAAATTATTTGAAGTATATAAAATATTAATTTGATTATTATATTCAAATATACAAAATACTTAATTTTAAGCACTTGAAGAATGTGGCATGCAGAAAATATTATTAAACTGCATCCATATATTAAGTTTAGAAACATATTGAGGAGTAAGAATTCATCACATATGGTTATATATCTTGTCGACAAAAAATGTGCAAGTAATATAAATGTGTGTATGTGTATATATATTGTAGTACCTCCAGATAGTTTGTCACGCATTTCCTGAGGAGTAACAGAGGAAGTAAGAGATAGTTTGGGACATCGTTGCACAATAAGGTGCCTCGCGGTTTGAAAGCGGGGATGGATTGACCGAAGTGAGTGAGGGAAGGTTCCGAAGGACAACATATTCTAATTCCAACGCAGGAGTGGCAGCCTCGTATGTGTGTGTTGTGTCATGCTGTTCATCTCCAAATACTTGCTCTAGCGCAGATGTATCTTCTATGTACAATACCTTTATATTTGGAATCAGTCGACATGCAAAGATCTTAGGGAATACGCATTTCAACTTATGGCAACGTTTGATGTAGATTGAAACAAGTCTTAGGAAGACAGGTTTCGGAGAAGTCGACACATTTTGATCATCTTCTTCAATGATTTCCTCCAACTCATTACAGTCTGTAATGTCAAGTTGCCTCAATTGTGGGAGTTCTTTCAAGATGCATGAAGGGAATACTTCTTTCAAATTTCCACAATTGGATAGGTTTAACCCGAAGATGTTGGAGGAGTAAAGAATTTTTGGGACCCCTCCATATATGCCTCAATTTGGGTAGATCACGCAAATTAAGGTTATTTAACCTCAAGTTTACTTGTTGTCTATTGATAGGAAGCTTTCCGACATCAAAAACAACTTCTACTTCATCAATATTATGAATAAATAGGTCCTCTAAAGTTTCTCGTGGGGCCACGACCACCTTCAATAGGTCCTGTAGAAGTGAAAAAGAAATCACATTAAGCAATTAAAATTTGAAAATTATTGTGTCACCTAGTATAGACAATTAACAAATTATCATTGTGAAAAAACTAGATAAATGCACATGTTGTAATTATATAAAATAATATGGCCAGAGAAAGTTTCCTCATGTACAATTGTGAATATATAGGATGATAATATATAGATTTAATATTTTTTATATTGATGATGATAGATTATACGAATGGTTTGATAATATTAGAAATAGAGAAATAGTACCTCAAAAGACCCTTGATCGTCCTCCTGTCTCAATTCATCATACATATCGCAATGATTGATAGACTTGGCATTAAACCGCAGACAATTTGTCAACCCCAGCGCTTCCAAAGAAGGCCATGTTGGATGATAATTTTAGGACAAATACTAATGATATTTTGCATGTTTTCCAAGTTGAAGATCTTCAGAGCAGAAAACTCAATTATTTGAGGCTATTCAGATTCAAGCCTTCATAAGGAGCTTGCCCAAACAAACTTCTCAATTCATCATTTCCATATACATGTAAATATTCCAAATGTGAAAGGCTCTTTGTGAAAGAGATAGGCATTAAGTATTCTAGTTGCTTGCAATTGCCTATTTTAAGTTCTTTCAATTTGGGAAATGCATTTTCGTAATTCTGATATTCACTTCCATCAACTATTTCCTTCACATCTTCTGTCAGTATGTGCTCAAGTGAATCACAACTTTCTATACAAAGTCTCTCCAAGTTTGCAAAAAGGCCATGTGGAGGATGACCACTATGCAAAGTTTTCAAATGCTTCACCTTTGAAAGAGTTAGATGAGTCAAATTGGAGATGATTCCAACTTGACTTGAATTAGTTGCATGGCCTATCATGCATTCTATCCCCTCTGAATCATGAATAGCAAGACGAGTCAACTCATTCATACTTCCTTCTATTGTTTGACACAGGTCAGGAATGATATTTTTCCAACTTCTAGGGATTCCTCTCAAAGAAAGAGTCTTTGCCCTTTTCATCATATCCTTATTTGTTGCAGTTGAAATACAATTCTCAAAATCTTCAATATATAAATTTCTTTCAACAAAAGAATGACAACAAGATATACGTTATGATACCAAGAATCTTCATCATCACTGCCAAAATGTATGCAATAGCTCTCCAGTGTTGGTGTGGCAGTGCTAATTTTATCAAAAAATTCAGCACTATTTTTATTTTGGTGTTCCCAATCTTTTCCACTATTGCCACAAAAATATAATACTTCCAATTGTGAACATCCTCCATTACTTCAAAAGGATTCTTTTGAATTCTGCACCAACGCAAATCTAGTAATCGCAATTCATTTAGTTGTATGGTGCACTTTGGCAATTCATTGAAAGAACACCTCCACAATGCAAGAGACTCAAGTCTTTTTAAGTCCCTATGAAAGAGATATCACCTAATTGGCAACCATATAGCATTAGACAACACAAGATATTTGCCATGGGGACCAAAACAGGCAATGGAAGAACTACTAAATCTGTTTCAAATAATTAGTATTTTTAAGAATAAAAATTTTGAGCTTCTCCATATCATTGAAAAAATCATTGGGTATAGTCACAGAAGACTGAGACTTTATGGAGACATAAAGAAAATTAAGTTCAGGACAATGTAACTTGTTGGGACATTTATCAATATCTTCAAACCATAAATATCTTACTGCATGGTCCTTCATTATCATATCTTCTTTTAATTGTCCCATAATCAATTTGCTCTCCTTCTTTGCTATCCATAGAGCTACATCACGAACCAAGTCATGTATCTTAACATGACTACCATCTTCATGAGCTTTTAGGAGTAAACAAGAATCTCAAGCTTCTTTATGGCCCTATTGATTACTTGGGTCCCTGCCCATTGATATGAGGGAATCTCTCCAGCTAGACCAAGCCCTAGTCCGATTATGGTTAATTGATCAATCTGAATTTGATAATCTTCTGGATACACAGAACAAAATAAGAAGAGTGATTTAGCCACTTCATTCTCTAAATTATCATAACTTAGCCGAAGACATCCATATATACCTCTGAGACCTTCTTCAACATCTATCCAACGTGAACCTCTCAATGTTTTCAATGCTGCAACCCACTCATCATAAGGTTTATCCTTCAAAGCACTGGCTACTGCTGCAATTGCAATAGGTAAACCATCACATTTTTTTGTAATTTTTTTTGCTATATCCTTCCATTTATCAAAGCAATCATCAGACAACTCAGCATGCTTCTTAAAAAGGGCCCAAGAATCATTCCCTTTTAAACCCTCCAGGGAATTTTTTTTGGCAACCCATCGATTTACATACATGTAAATTGCGGGTGGTTATAAGAGTAGTGCAGCCCATTTGATCGTTATTAGTAGGAATCCCTATGTCCTCAAAATTAAGCTTCTCCCATACGTCATCCAGAATAATCAAAAACCTTTCTCCACTGCTCAATCTCATGGACAAGCGTCTAGCTCTCACTTGTGTCTCTTCCTCTTTCAATTCCAACTTTAGTGGGTTGGCAATCTCGCTCTGAATTTTTCTTACATCAATGGTATTAGACACAACCACAAAGACTACTTTATCAAAAAATTTCTCTGCTTCTTTGCCCACTTCTTTTACCAAAGTTGTTTTCCCAGACCCGCCCATGCCACACAATCCTATCATATGAATCTTATCATCCTTAATAGCCCTTAAAAGATCCTCACAAGCCCCCTTTCTACTGTCAAAGGCCACAAAATCTTGTGAAGAAAAGTAATGCATACCTACAAGCGAAGTAAGTCGAGAAAACTCCGAGAATTCAACTTCATTGTGCTTTCTAATTTCATCTGTCTTCTCCTCAAGCTGCTTTGCCAGATTATAACGACTGATCAAGTCTGGACAATGCTTAAGGCAAGACATCTTGTTTCTTTTCTTGGTTTTCTCTTGCAGCTCCACCACTTGTGCCATCAGAGAGTCTGCTTTGTGTAACCAATTCTCAACTTTAGGAACAACCTTCTGAGTATTCTTCCTCTCATTTCAGCACGAGTTAGAACCTCTTGTATTTTTGATTGCAAGTTCTGTTGTTCTGTTTCAAGCTCTTTGACATACTTGTTGAAGCGGAAAGGATAGCAAGCTTGAAGTATTGCTTCATCTACTAACTTGGTCAATATATTAGCCGTAACAGAAGCAACAACATCCATTGCCCCTGAAACCACACAATGTAGCCCAAGTGATATAATTTGAAGGTGCCATGAAAATAAATATTGGTATATGACTTAATTAAACGCAGAATTATATAGAGCAACTCTATTACACACAAGATCAGAACATTATTTTGAAAAAGCCTTACCTGTTATTTTGTGAGGAAATTCAGCAAAAGATGAGTCTGATTATGGTTCTTCTCCAATCCAACTGCAGCTATGAAACAAGGGAAAAAACACAAGAACATAAGAAATAAGGCATGGTTGAATTTGTAAAATCCAAACACAACTCTACTCCTTTTTCTCAGAAATTTCGATCTCCTTGTAACCTAGCAACACAAAACACTACT